GTGTCCCAGCCTTTGTGCTGTGCTATTCCCGTCCCTCACACCTTGCCTCTTCTCCTGCTTTTCCCACCCCCAGCTCCTTTGCCCTGGCCTGGGGTGCTCATCCTGGCTGATTGGCCCTCGTTTCCTTGGCCTCCTTGGTTCCTGTGCTGGCATCTCCTGCACCTCTGCTGCAGGTGCTGAAGGAGTCGTATCTCGGACGGGTTTGGTGAGGGGGCTTGGGAATTCTGGATGCAAGGAAGTTGTTTTTCTGTTCTAGGGGCACCAGGAAGCACAGTCTGGGTTTGGATTGAGTTTCAGACAGCTCAGAATTGGGAGTGTTCATCTGGAGAGGGGAAGGCTCCAGGGAGAGCTCAGAGCCCCTTGCAGGGCCTAAAGGGGCTCCAGGAGAGCTGCAGAGGGACTGGGGACAAGGGATGGAGGGACAGGACACAGGGAATGGCTCCCACTGCCAGAGGGCAGGGATGGATGGGATATTGGGAATTGGGAATTGCTCCCTGTGAGGGTGGGCAGGCCCTGGCACTGCCCAGAGCAGCTGTGGCTGCCTCTGGATCCCTGGAAATGCCCAAGGCCAGGCTGGATGGAGCTTGGAGCACCTTGGGCTAGTGGAAAGTATCCCTGCCCATGACAGGGGTGGGATGAGATGGTCAATTGGGTCACTTCCAGTCCTGTGATTCAATGATGATTCTGTTAATTTTCCACTCTTTTCAAATCCAGGAGGACACTCACAAAGTCCTTAGGGGGCACAAATGGAGTTGTTCTTGAGATCCATTTGTCAAGCACATGCAGCTCCCAAATAGCAAAATAATAGAAAAGATAGGAAGTGAGAATTGTTACCTTTTACAAAATATTTTTAACACTGGGAGAGGATATGAAATTGTTTCAAACAGCAAATAAAGCCCAGTACAACAGCACAGCTCTTGAGACTCTTCTGAGGATTGGTTTTCATTTAATGTTCTGTCTCTTGACTCTGGGTTGTAGTTGTAGACAAAGTGTTTCTTGTGTTCCACCCCTCCTTTCTTCTACCACAGTTTGTCATACTTGAAAGGAATTTCTCTCATGACCATAATTGCAAAATGGATCTTGGAGAGAGGCAGACATGGCACTTGCCTTGTGGAGTAAAAGCTGCATTGGCTTTTTTGTTTTGTTTGGTAAATTCTCACAAATGAGGGCTGGACTTGCACAAGCAGAACAGTCTCTGTCTTAATCCACTTGTCCTGCACCTGCAGAGAAAAATCCCCATGTGAAGAGCAGAGGAGTGGGGTTTTTATGTCCCATCTCTGCATAACTCGAGGGGTGTTTGGTCACCAAGGGTCACTTGTTGCTTTTGGGCATGGAGTGAGATACTGCACATACTTATGAACCTGGAAGTGTCCAAGGCCAGGCTGGGCAGGGCTTGGAGCAGCCTGGGACAGGGAAAGGTGTCCCATGGCAGGAGTTGGGGTGTAAGGTCCTTCACAAGCCAAACAATTCCATGATGTGGCTGTGTCAGCTCTCCCTTCCAGCTGAAGGAGTTAATCCTGGCCCTGGGGAGGGATGGAGGGCACGAGGAAGGCTCCTGGCAGCTGGGACACAGCGTGGGCATCTCTGGCTCCCTCCTGGAGGTTGCAGCAGCAGCAGGCGTGGGCTGAAACACGAGCATGCTCCGTTTGGGGGGAGAAGGCATTTTCCAGCAGCGCTTTGCTGCTCATCACTTCAAAGCAGTCACAAAAAACGAGGCTGTGCCGGCCAGGACAAGCCCAGCTCCGTGGCAAGGGGAGAGTTTTGTCCTCGCTGTGGTGTCATGGAGCTGTGCACCCTGCAAATGATGACCATCATCAAGGGAAGCTGTGCCCCTGCAGTCCATCAAGAGGCACAGAGCTAATGATGGGCTGGGCAGATAATCGGGGGAGAGTTAATTGTAAGGTTCGATATGGCATCTTGTCAGCAGAGATAAGTTGTCACGTTTTCCACTTGAGCTGAAACTAAATGATTGTAAAATAAGTTATGAGTGTCCTTGGGCCTGTCTGCCAGAATGATGGCTAAGAATACATTCCTGGCCCATCAGTCTCAAGCAGCCCGCTTGATATTTATGCGAACTGAATGTTATTTTATTCCCCCTCTAGTCATGCTTGTCAGCTTCCCGAGTGAAAAGTGAAACTGCTGCTTTGACTCATACTTCAAGTATTGAAGCTCGGAGAGGCTGCAGATTGTTATTATTATTACCAGTATTATATATTTTTTCGGGTGTGTGTTGAACATTGATGCCCGATTGGGAAGAACTAATGGCTGACATTGAGCGTGCGGGATGGCTGCAAAACAGCCCATCCCGGCCCAGTGGAACGCAGCTTATGGCTTCCAGTGCCTCTGTCAAAGCTGCTTGAGATGGGGAGTAATGAGGCGCTTGCTTTTTTAATTTGCCATGCCTTTATCCTTGCCTTTTATCCCCCCTCCTCTTTTTTTTTTTATTTTTTTATTTTTTTTAAATATATATTTAATAGTGCTGGCAGTGGTCGTCTGTTCTCAGGCGTGGTAATTGATACCAAATAAAATGCATTATTTGTATTCAGTCAGGAGGATGAAATTGCATTCAGCGGGCTGAAGCCTGAACTCATTTACAGTTTCCCCAAGCCCGAGCTTTCAGGAGCCCTCTTTTCAATTTGAAGAATACCTTGTCAGGCACGAGAAGGAGTGGGAAATGGGAGAGCACAGCGTGGAAGCCCGGTGCCTTTTGATTGCTCATATTTTAAAGCAGGGCAATGTTAAATAACTCCCATCCTCAAAGGGTGGGCTCGCAATCCGGCGATCCGGGGCAGCGGCGCGACTGACTCGGCTCCCTTCGTGAGGGACCAACCTTCCTTGCTGCTCGAGGGGGAGGGAGAGCTCCAGGCTCCCACTTGAGAGCAGTTTGACCCAAGGACAGCAGGTGATTACCTGGAAGGGGCTGGGGATGACGAGGATTTACCACGGGAGGTTAATTCTTCAGCTCCGCGACGCCGGGCGTCAGCCCCGTACGGCCCTCATTTTTCAGAGCTCTCCAGCAGGTTTTGTTGGGGGGATTTACGGCCTGGAAATTAGACAGAGCTGCCACCAGTGAGTGGATGCAGCCTGATGGGTTTTAACAGGGTGTATTCTGTGCTGCTGCCTCAGGATTGCGGGGGTTTTTCCACCAGGTGCATGCGGGTGCAGGAGGGGATGAACTCGGATGGGTGTGATTGTTTCAAAGTGAAAGCTGGGAATGAGGTGGGGGGGAAATGAAGCATTTGGAATCTTAGAATCCCAGAAAGGTTTGGGTTGGAAAGAATATCAAGCATCACCTGGTTCTGACACCTCAGAGAGGGACACCATCCACTGTCCCAGGTTGTTCCAAGCTGGGCTTTGGGCACTCCCAGGGATGGGGCAGCCACGGTTTCTCTGGACAACCTGGGGGTTTTCTCCTTCTTTTGAAGTCTCACCACTGGAAACCTGCAGAGTCAAGCTGGAGGTCACTACTTGGGGCTGGCAGAAACCCCAGTGCAGCTGTGCTCACGCCTTTGTGTTCCTGGCACCCTCTTCTGCACCTTCTCCTGTGCCATGGATCCAAAGGGATCTCTGTCCCCTTTTCTGAGAGAATTCCCACCAGGATTTTCACCTGACTTTCATCTCCCTTCTCTCCTGCAGAGACAGCAAACTCTGCCACTTGCACCAGTTGTGGGTCAAATCCTTAAAATCTCCTACACTGATACAGGGTAAATACATCCCCATGATTCCCTTTTGGGGTTAAATTCTTGGGAGCTGGTTTCAAGCTAGTGGATGCAGGGAAAAGAACAGAAATCCTTAATATAAAGATTAATGTTTGGTTTGGTCTCTCTTGCCAGGCAATTAGCTACATAATTCATCCCCCACTAATAACTTAGAGCACAACTGTGCTTAGGGGGTAATTAGTAAATAAACTTTATTAGGAGGAAAAAGAAAGCAAAATAAGTTGGCTTTTTTCAAAGAGGCAGTTCTGTGGGAATTTAACTATGCAAAAAGAATCAAAAGCTAATTTTTTAATAATCTTTGGCTTGATATTTTTCTGACATATTAAGTTAAATGCACTCCTGTTATTACACTTAAGCTTTATAATAAGAATTTTTATTCTTTTTCCCTGTGTCTACTGTTCTGAAACCAATCACCAAGTATTTAACCCCAAAAGGCAATAATGGGAAGGTATTTGCTGAATATCTGTCTGGGAGATTTTAAGGATATGGCACATAAATGCAGTCCTGATACTGCACTAAGGTGCAATATGGTATTTAAGCAAGGTTCTGGAAATGGCTTCACTTTCCATAATAGCAAGCACTTTCCTTTAAGTGTAGGTTTTATGTGGAATTTTATAATTAAAATCCAAACCAAGCCAGTAATTAAACAAAAATCACATTACTAACCTTGGGGGGAAATCCTGGATTAAGGTTACTTGAATATTTACTATGTGGAAGGACCCAAGTTCTTAAAATTGTTGGAGTTAATAAAGCAGGAAAGTGAACAGAGTAAGGTGGGATTATTTATTTTCCTTGGGAGCAGGTAGGAAGTGTGGAGCAGGTAGGAATTTATCACACAGTTTTTACCTGTACCAGGTGCACATTACTTACCTTATTTCCCACCTTTACTGCCATCACCAGCTTTTCAGTGAGTGTCTGTCTGATATTAATGACAGCAGAGAACATCCAGAGGATCCAGGGATATCTCTGTTTATGCATTAAAATGTCCAAGTGCTACACAAATTAATTTGAGGCTAGGGAGGATCTTTGGAGGAACTAGAAGCAATAAAGTGCTTTCCCATTGTTTTTGTGCATTCCAGCTGGCCTGCCCCTAAAATTGCTGCCGAGTCCTGTTAATCTAAGAGGACTTGGATCCGTTTTTTGGAAAAAACAATGGACATTGTTTGGAGAATCTCCTGAAGCAGCTCAAGAACGTATCTGCCAGCAGCCAGGGGTTGTAAGCTTGGACTGTAACCATCACCTCCTTTCAATCTCACAGCATTTTGATCTTTTCTGCTGCAGACACGGGCCTGGGAGATTCAGTGTGCTCCAGCCCCAGCATCTCCAGCACCACCAGCCCCAAGCTGGACCCCCCTCCTTCCCCCCACGCCAACAGAAAGAAGCACCGCCGGAAGAAAAGCACAAGCAACTTCAAAGCTGACGGCATCTCGGGCACGGCTGAGGGTAGGTCCCCATCCCAGTCCCAGGCTGAATCCTGGAAATTGGGCCTTTCCAAGGAGTGGTGTTAGTTCAGCACCTGTCACTGGAGGGCACGAAATAACACCGCACACATACAGCTCTTCCAAAGTGAAAAGGGAATTTTTTTATTTCTGACCCCAGGATTTATCGATTTCCAGAAGTGACAGTGGATTGGAGGGTCACAGTGCCACCTCTCCACTGACACTGGGCAAACCAACAGTCCATCAAAAATTTCTCCTCCTTCATAAAAGAATGCAAAACAATGAGTTATTTACAGAAAGTGTAAATAACTTATTGTTTTGTATTCTTTTATGGTGGAGGAATGTAAACATGAGAAGACTTAGCAAATCTTTAAAAACCAAGGTGACAAATACCAACCTCGGCTCTGAATGCACAGGAGAAAGGGAATTGTGAGAAATTAAAGTGTGAGCTTGTGAGGATGGAGCTGAAGCAGCTGAGGCATCACAGTGGTGAATTCAGCTGCCTGCAATGTGTTTAGAACTTTTTTTTAATAAATCAGAGTCCCCAAGTTAGTATGGAGCATCATTTAGCTGTTGAGGTAAGGAAGAGGCACACTTGGAAGGTTCACAAGGAGGAAAAATTCAGGTTCACTCCCCAGCCCACGGATCACGTCAGAACTTGTGTGTTTTTTTCAGTATTATTAAATCTTGTGTTATCACATCTCCTCAGGCACATCCTGAGCTCTAGAATGGCCAACACTTCTGATGCCTCTCATTGTTTGAATATTCAGCTGCTTGTGGAAAAGCTTGTGTTATTTGAGGATAAAAGGGAAAAGGGGAGAGTTTAAATGTTTGGGTTCTTTTTTTTACGAGCCAGAAAGCAAAAGCCAAAAAGAACTTCTTTTTCTCCCTTAGTTTAGCTTACTATTTCCACACTGCTGTAGCTGTTCAATGCCCTTCTGAAGGGGTAACAATGTGTACAGGAGCCAGGTATGATATAAAACATGCTTGCAGCTTTAGAAAAGAAGAAAAGAAACATGCTAGGATTCAACCAAAAGAGCTCCAGAAAAAGAAAGATGAACAAGGGTGGTTGGAGGGCTCAGAAACTGGGGAGTCAACACATAAGGAGAGATGAAAAAGGGAGACAATGGAATAACATTGTGGGAAAAGGGGAGTGTTGAGTAAGAAAAAGATGTGGTTGTAAGCATGGGAGAGTAAAAAACAGCTAATTCAGTATCAAAGAATGTTGGAACAAGTTCTGAAAAAAGGATGACAATTGCAGACAGCTGAAGAGACATTAAAAATAGATGTGATAATAGTATACAACTGAGAAGGGGCATGTTAACTACTACTTAGTCATCCTTATTTTCCATTTATTTAATTTCTCAATTGCACTTCTATCACATCCGGAATTTATTTCCCTAGCTATCTATACAAATCCTTTTTTAAAAAGCCATCAGCTTTTTTTCATAACAGCTCCTGTTGTGTTCTCTTTCCAGTCATTTAACTATCTTTGCTGTTAGTTTCCCCCTAGTTTATGGCCCGAAGCCAAATTTTAGTTCAACCTTTCATTTTTAATTTGTCCTTTTCTTTTTATTTTTCTTTTAAAGAAACCCTTTTACACCACTTATTTTCAAACCTCAATGGCAAATTACAGAGGGGATTTTTCAGAGCTTTCACCATTGGCCCAAGAATATTTTGTTGAAGTCAAAATGAATCAAGACCAGCTGGATATCGAGAGCCTTTGAAAAATCTCTTTCTGAGCAGTTAATAGGTGTATGTTTTCTTTCTCCTGGGGAGATTGTTTTCACAAGGCACTGGAGCCTGTGTGGTCCTGGGCTGCAGGCACAGACCCAGAGGGAGCAGTTTGCACGTGGCTCTCTTGTCCCTGATGTCCCTGTTCTGATTGCAGAGTCCATCCTTCATCCTCCTCGGTCTCCTCTTCCTCTCCTCATCTTCCAGCATCACACTGTGTTACCTGAAATCCTCTTGCAATAGCTCAACAAAACTGTCCCCTCTCATGGAAATGGGATCAGTGTGCTCCCAGAAAGGCAGGAGGTTGTTGGCAAGCAGCAGCTCAGTAACACCCAGGGAGCTCAAAGGGTAGAATCATTTAGGGTGGAAAAGCCCTCTGAGATCCTCCAGTCCAGCCATTCCCCAGCACTGCCACGGCCACCACTCATCCCTGTCCCCAGGTGCCACATCCTCACATCTTCTAAATCCCTCCTGGGATGGGGATTCCACCACTATGCCAGGGCTGGACAGCCCCTTCTGTGAAGAAATATTCCCCAGTTTCCACCCTGAGCCTGTCCTGGCCCAGCCTGAGGCCGTTCCCTCTGCTCCTGTCCCTGTCCCCCTGGCTGTCCCCTCCTGTCAGGAGCTGTGCAGAGCCACAAGGGCCCCCTGAGCCTCCTTTGCTCCAGGCTGAGACCCTGCCCAGCTCCCTCAGCCCCTCCTGGGGCTCCATTCCCTGCCCTGGACACTCTCCAACAATCCAACCCCTCCTTTTACAGTGTTTGTGCCTCTGCATGAGCCCATCAGCTTCCTGTCACCTGCCTCTTCTCACATGTCTTCTGAGGCAGAAGGTTCACTCTGCTGGGTGGAGAGAAGAGTGTTCTGTTCTGTTTGGGACTTAGCAGTTGTGTCTCAGGAGTATCATAAAATGCAGGTCCACCAACAAGGGCAGGAATGTATCTGATGCATCTGATTCCATCTTATTAGAAGGCTAATTATTACTTTATTACACTATATTATATTAAAAAATATTATACTATACTGAAGAATACAGAAAAGATACTGAATGCTAAAAAGAGAATAATGAAAACTCCTGACTCTCTCCAGAGTCTGACACAGCTTGGCCCTGATTGGCCAAAGAGCCAAAACAACTCAAAAATGAGACTAAAGTCAAGAGCACATTTCAAACTCTACAGTTACAGCCACCACACCACCTTCCTGTGGAGCTGAACATGCAAGTGTGTTACAAAATGCAGTCAGGTATTTAAGGGACTGGCACATCCAGGAAGGGGTCCCATAAGGGACTGGCCCCAGGCAGGAATGATGAATCTGACTCCATGTTCTCAGAAGGCTCATTTATTACTTTATAATACTATATTATATTAAAGAATGCTGTACTATACTAAAGAATACAGAAAGGACACTTATTGAATGCTAAAAAGATAATAATGAAAACTCCTGACTCTCTCCAGAGTCTGACACAGCTTGGCCCTGACTGGCCAAAGAGCCAAAACAACTCACAGCAGAGCCCAATGGAACAATCACCTGTGGATGAACAATCTCCAAACACATTCCACATCAGCACAGCACAGGAAAAGCAAATGAGAGAAGAATTGTTTTCCTTTTCCCTGAGGCCTCTCTTGCTGCTTTTCACCTTCTTAGGAGAAAACCCTGAGTGAAGGGATTTTCCAGAGGATGTGGATGCCACACAGGCAGGCCTCCGTGGCTGTTAAATTCTTTCATTTCACACCATCCTCTTTCACAGCCCTGCTGCTGAAAAGCAGCACTTTGGCCACAAGAGCAGAATGAGGAGTTCTCTCTGGGCATGCCAGGGCTCTGGGCATCCTTCAGCAGACAGCTAATCTGGCTGGTCCTTGAATCCTGGAATCCTTGGCAGGGCTGGGAGGGGATGGCTGACAGCGAGGACAGACAGCCTCGTCCGTCAGCGCGACTGAAGGAGAAGCAATGAGGCGTGCTCCAGCTCCTGTCCTTTTAGGAGAAGGGCATCTCACAAAGAGTGATAGTGGCTGGAGATTGCCACTAAGGACGTCCTAGCAAGACTCAGAAAGGCTGGGGGGGCTGCTCTGCCCAAATCCTGGCAGTTTTGGGCTTTTCTGGGAGTTGTGTTGGTGTGAGGCAGAGCCACCAAATCATTGAGGTTGGAAAGGGCCTCAAGGATCCTCGAGTCCAGCCAGGCTCAGGCTGTGCTGGGTGTTTTCTCCAAGCAGTTGAATGTCAGAGGAGTTTAGGTTGGATCTCAGGGAAAGGTTCATTCCCCAGAGGGTGCAGGGATTGGGCACAGCCCCAAGGCTGCCAGAGCTCCAGGAGTGTTTGGGTACCACTCCCAGGGTGAGATTGTTGGGGTGTCTGTGCAGGGCCAGCAGTTGGATCAATGATCCTTGTGGGTGCCTTGCAGCTCTGGATATCCCATGATTCTATGGTTTCCACATCTGTCTTGCACTTCAAAGCTGTTTTCACTTCCAGTTATTTCCCTGTTCTCCAGTGCTTGGCTACAAATCTGTCCAGTGACCTAAAAAATTCCCTTGGGGATTTTTCTCCCCCCACCATAACGTAGATTTATACCCTCAGAGGATTGCTGCACTTTTGAAGACCACAAATCCAAACTAGGCCATCAAAGGTGTTCTGGGAGATTCCAACACTTTGATCAAAGTGTTTGAGATGCTGCAAATTGGCTCCAGAAGCCTGTGGTGGTAATTGTGGGACAACCATGATCTTCCTTCCTTCCTTTCTCCTGGAAATCCTGGGCTCCCTGTGCAGAGGAGGAGGATCCTCCTGCAGTCGCTGTTCCCAGGCAGGTACAATGGATCAGAGTTAAATGGTGTGGGTAATTCTAGATTTTGTGTTGCCTTCCTTTGGCTCCAGACACATTTCAAGTGTCAGCTTTCAAACAGGAATTCTGAGTTCCTTCATTTTCGTCTGCACCAAAGCTGAGGTGTTCAATGAGGTTTAAATCTGGTCTTCAGCAAACTGGAGCATTTTTGCTGCACTTTGCAGGGCTTTTTTCCCCTCCTTGAACGTGCCTGCTTTGATCATTGACCTCTGCCCAAGTATTCAGATATCACGATGATGGACACTGAGCTCAGGCTGGTTCACCAATTCCAAGGCCTGGTGCTCATCCCTTTTATGCCCTTCCATAAAGGTCATGCTGATTCTTCTCTCTCCACACTATCTGCACGTGCACAGCCCTCTCTTTCTGGGATGGGTTCTTTCATCTCACTTGGTTTATCTTCCTGCAGCTTTTCTGAGACAATGCTCACAGCAACACAAATG